TAATCCACTTCAATCTTAGTTTAGTGCATGGTGATAGGTATGGGTCTAGCTTTGACTCTTAGAATCTTGAGGTCTTGTTTCACAGTGAAGTTTCTTTCGTACATGCTCTTCATATACCACCTTAAAAGAAATTGTTAGCAAAGTACAGGTTGATCAGGAGCTGTGTGCCCAGAAGAAGCAACAGCTTCTCCTAGCCTGGCCAGTTCTGCTCCGATTCCTCTGTAGGTGTAATGTTGGTTCCAAGGGACGTCTCAAGTACATTGCTGGGAAGAGAACTGGCTTCGACTTAGACCTCAGGTCTTTCACTCAGAAGTGTGTGCTCTTTTCATAAGGTCCCTCCTGGGGCAAGCTGTAACATATATGAAACAGATGTGGATCAAAATAAAACAATGGAAAAATAAATAGTAGCTCGGTCCTGAAGATAGGCCACTACGTTCCGCCACCATCTGCGAGACTGCTTTCTGTGGGAAAATGCCTTCTGGGTTGGAACAGGATGTCAGAATCAGCAGCTTCCCACCTCTGGAAGCAGAGAATGATTACATCACTGAAAAGACTCAACATTCACTTGAAAGAGTTGCCTCCTTCAAGCCACTTTGAAAAATAGTAGAGCATATAGTGTAGGTTAAATGGGAGAGAGATCACTGAATTTATGCTCTAATTAAAAAGGAGGTAATTTCCTAAAGAATCTGTTGGAGGAGAGGGGAGAGCGTATCCAAAGTTTCTGTAAAGAGAGTTGTTTCTGATATGGATGGAGGGAAGAGTGTAAGCCTTGACTTGACTAATCAGCACAATACAAGTTAGCCCTTACATGCCTTAAATTAATCCTTAATACAGCCCTGCTAATGCAGATGTTAATTATCCTAATTCGATATGTAAAAGAACTGAGATTAAATAGTTTGCTCAAGGTCAGAAGTAACGGCAGAGCTGGGTTTTGTACCAACTTCTGTGATTCATCAGAGCCCGAGTCCTTAGTCCTCTGCCTCCTGTTAGTTTGGCTTGCGAGTCTGCCCAACCAGATGTTCAAGTCAGAGAACAGGCAGAAATAAAACTGGATACAAAGAGTGAGACATGACTTTTAAGTGACGTTAATGGTAGGTAGCTTAATTAAGATGTAACTTGGTGTGAAGCAGAAAACAATAGAATGATCATGAGAAGGGCAGCCACATATTTATCATGGTAAGCAAAGATCTGAGAAAGCCGGGCCCCACCATAATCCCAGCTATGTCTGTTTCCATCATCACAGTACTCCCGAATGGGCAGGTATTTTTGCCACTTGTAGGTGACTAAGAGTGATGTCTGGTGAGGTGATACATGACATTCCTGGACCTTGGGATATGACCAGGCGCTCAAGGTTTGTCTCTGCCTGGGAGGTCAGCCTCTCCTGCCCAGGCCTGGCACAGAGCAGATGCTCCTCAGTCTGTGCAGGGAGATGAGATATAAAAATAAGGAAAGCCCTGGGGGTGTAGCTCAGTGGCAGAGCACTAACCTAGCATGTGCAAGGCCCTGTGTTCCATCTTCACCATACACACATGTGTGCACGCGAATAAATTTTTAAAAAACAACAGTGGTCTTATAGGGGTTCACAGGTTAGTAGGGGAGACAAATATATGAACACGTAAATGCTCTGTGGAATATAGGTGCTAGGAGAAGATTGGAGCATGAAGCATTTTCTTGCTTTTGTTTGCCGTACCTCATCTTATTCCTCCCCACCTCTTCTCTCTCCTGTGTTGCTCTCAGAAGCCCTCATTCATTCAGACTCTCCTGTGTGAAGCTCTGGCCTCTGAAACAATCCTTTTTAGATTGCCAAGAAAGGATCTTCCAAGCTTATGTGTACAGTGTGTTATTCTTCATGCTTTTTTTTTTAACTCTTCTATTATTTTTTTCTATCCATAATGTTTAAAATATTTCTTCATCTTCAGGAAACAGGTCAAACACAAATATTTACTTAAATTATTAATCATTGTGCATTAGCTAATGACTAGAGGTAATTTGAAAATCACAGTTTTTAAGACTATTTTTATACTGAAGAACAGAATTCTTTTGAAATTTTATGCCATAAATGAAAACATAACCTGTAACCTTTATTAGAATTGTGGCTTAAACTCCAGCCTGGATACTTCAAAGTAATAATGTTTAGTGCTTAGTAAATAATACTTCACAAGGCTAGGCATGGTGGCGCACACCTGAGATCCCAGCACTCGGGAGGCTGATACAGGAGGATCACTGGGAGTTTAAGGCCTGCCTGGCCTACATAGTGAGTTCAAGGCCAACCTGAACTACATAATGAGACCCTGTTTCAAAAAAAAAAACAAACCTTCACAAATATAAGTAATGTAAATACATAGTATTTAAGTTAGATCAATTGTGAAATCATTACATTTTTATTACTCTAAAAAATATTTTGGGAAATATATTTTTATTCTAGAGTTTTTGGTTTGGTTGCTGGCTGTTTGACTTAGGTTCTCTGAACAACATAATCCTGACCTTACACCAGAAAAGACCCGTGTCAGATGAGCATCAATCAGAGATATGATTTTAAGCCTTGTTTGGATTTTAAGTGTTGAGGAAAATCAAGGTTAGAAAAGACATAGACCCTATATAAGTTCCCCAGATAAAAACCACATCTTGGGCCGGGGATTTAGCTCAGTGGTTTCACCACCTGCTGCGCAAGCGCAAGGACCCAAGTTTGATCCCTGGTTCCAGAAAAAAACCAAACAAAACCCATATCTTACTCCTTTTTTGATACCCTAAAATTTAGCATCAACCACTTTGTATTAATTGAACTTGTAAGTCATTTAATTTTGATTTGCTTTTTCCTTGTGCTTATATTTCAGCTAATATACTAAGGTGATTTTTTTTTTGGTGCTGGGTATCGAACTCGGGACCTTGCGCTTGCAAGGCAGGCACCAGAAACACTGATCTAAATCCCTGGCCCTAAGGTGATTTTTTTATCTGAATTCATGAAGGAACATTCTATTCTATAAATAGAAAAATGCATGGAGATCATTTTTAAATATGATTTTATTCTCACCAACTATGAATAACAAAAACAAAACCAAAAACAATTCTATGGCAACAATTCTATGGTAACTCTGCGATTCATTTGATGTCTCTGTAGTTTAAGGAGTGTGACATAATGGTTTATTTTACTGTAATTTAAAAACTGCCTTGAGCAGTAGACAAATATTGAAAAGTTAATATTGCTTAAGGAAGTTTAATTTGTTGTAAGCTGTCACAGTTAAGCAACTCAAACGTGGAGTAGATGACATTACTTAGAAGAGGTGATGGTACCATGGTTACCCCAGAATGACTGCTGCTTTCTTTGGCTTAGCTGTTTCTAAACCTTTCTAGTTTAAATCTGAAACCTTTTCTCCAAGGGTAGAGCCTTTTAAAATAAAATGTTCTGAAATACATTCTTAGGCAGTTTTACTCCACACACATAATGACAAAGGAAAGTTAGTTTCTTAAGAGATAATGTAGATTTATTAATTCCTCTTTTTTTTCCGTTTCAGAGTTCCTGTTATTAAACCTGACATGGGTAAGTGGGAGCTCTCAATAAAGTTGCATGATGAAGAGCATTCTGTCGTAACATCACACCACGGGCCAGCATTCTCTGTGAGTTTAATTTCTTCATTTGGTAATCTTGAAATTATCTATGAATATTTAAAACCATTTTTAAGTGACTATTCAGTGACTCACTTCTTTTGAATTTATACCATAGCTATGTATTTGTTTCACTTTCTGTAGGAAGCTGAATGTAAAGGGAACTTCGTTCTTTAATATTAACTACGAAACACATTCTTAGATTCAGCCACATTCTAAACTCACTGCCTGATACTTCATTTGTTTTTCTTTAGTGTTTACTGAAAAGTAATATTTTTGCCTGTGTTATAAAGAACATCTTTATTTATAATTCCAAACACAGGATTGCTATGGTAGGTAACCATTCCTTTCAAACAAGTAATCTGGAGCTGTTTTATTACATTATCTTCACATTTTATGTTGTGTAACATTCTTGAGGCTAAGTTTACTTTTATGGAGATACTCTTTTTGTTCTGGAGAAGTTGGATAATGTCCATAACAGAACCGCAATAATTTGAATTCTGGTCTGTCATGAACAAAGTAAGATTATAGTGTTTATGTCCCATTATGAATGATATGTTTAAAGTCTGTGATTGGACATTGCCAGATAAATACCGAAAAGTGTTGCCATTTTAATTTGTATGATTTTGTATTTTCAGCCTGAACTCAGGGAAGCTATTATACATTTAGTGTAATGAATATTATGTTCACACATATTTCTCATAGCTAAGTAGCATTGAGATGTCATTTTATTTTGAGGAATCAAATGACTTTATTAGAAGATTGAAACAGGATATGAAAGTCAAAATAATACAATTTCACTGAAATTGAGGGACATAGCAGTTTCTTGGTCTCAGTGAGGAAAATACTATAAATTGAGGGTTCATGTGAATTTATTTATTTAACAAATATGTATTGCATGCCTACTATGTGCTAGATAAGTGCATGGCTGTTGCCCTGAAGAAGCCAATATTCTTTTGTAGTAGTCAGACTCACAAATGAATGAGATTAATTCATGAATTAAGGGTAGACACTGTAGTTTTCTTTACATTTTGTGATTCATTCTCTTTGCCAAAATGCTAAAGTTTTGGCTTTGAAACATATTTCACTCAGCTCTCTTAAAATGGAAATCAGGATGGAGTTAAACAATTATTTTATGATGTCTTTACTGATAAACTTTTGTCATTCTTTACATTTCTCCTAGCAATATGATTATTTTTAAACAGTATTTCTGTAAGTGGACACAGCCATACACATCTGGTTGAGTAGCAAATTATATGAATAAGTAGAAAAGCATCAGTGCTATTCTTATAATGTCTTCCTCAGGAAAGGTTAACGTTACAAAAATGTAGACTTTCAGCTCTGTGTGGAGTCACCACTCAACCATGTTGCCGTCTGCTCATCTTATGCAGTGTTTTTCTAAGCAGTGCCTTGCCTGAGTAAGAACACTGCCCAGCTTACTTCCTAGAACTGTTACTTTTATGTGCTTGTTTCAGGTTCCATGTTGTAAACATACTATAAAATTGTATTGTAACCAAGACAGTGTAATACTTGCATAGAGATGGACATGTTGAGCTCCAGAATAGAATTAAAAATCCAAGAGTAAATTTATACAGTGAACCCTCAAGTTATGACCGGCCTTACACATGGACAATTTGGGTTAATTAGGCTAATGGAAGATTCATCTGCCTCTTGTTATCTATAACTTCTACACAGGTAAACATCCAGATCTCAGCTGTGTTGACTTACAACAACTTGAGTTCCAGCCAGCCCTCGGAAACTGATCAAGTTCATAAGTCAAGGGTTCACTGTATATGTATGGTGAAGTTATCAGAATGATAGGTCTTAGGGAAATTCTTTCCACATTCTTGATGTCTTAAATAATTGGACAAGACACACAGAAAAAGGTAGCGGGAATGCATATTTATTGAAGTTAGAATGGAAATATGCTCTGCATAGTGACAGCAGGCTGGTGAACCACTGGGATGGGGGAAGAAGTAAGAGTGGCCACAGGGATGGGGGAAAAAGTCTTTTGTATCTGCAGTTCTTGGTCGGGCATCCCCCCTCTTGTAAATAAGGCATTGGTTCATCTGTCCTATCAAAAACTCACTGGTCCTGGAGCCAGATTTAAACTGTCCTACTGAAGACTTGGTTGGTTTCATGCTAGATGTAAAAGAAGAATTGAAAATAGCGTCTTCTGATTGGTTCTGTGTACAGGACTTTCAGAGTCATCTTAGATTCTGTGTTCTGAGCATGAACCATAGCCTGGGTCTCAGGACTTTGACAGATTACACCCCATTGTTTGACTGGTTTTGCCCCAGCCCTAAACTCCTCCCTCAGCAGTTGGGTGCTTGCCTGCCATGCCCAAGGGCCCAGTGGTGGCAAACCTATGGCACGTGTGCTGCAGTGAGCTGTTAATCATTGAAAGCTCTGGTAGGTTCACCATCACTGTGATAGTTTCTGTCTTTCTAATTACATTATTGTTTATAATACTTATTTTAGCTTATGCAGGGGTATTTTGATGAAGCAGTATAACTTTTGTCTACATGTATTGAACTTTTATCTTGTCTCAGCCTCTGTGGTCAGCATTTTACATGCATTATCCCATTGAGTCCTAGCAGTAAACTTGGTCAGTAGATGTTAATAGTCCCAGTTTACAGATCTGGAAACTGAGGCTCAGAGAGATAATCACATAATCGTGGAAATTTAGCTCTTCTCGACTGTGGGTGGATAAATCACTGTTAATGTCAGGAATAGTGCACAAAATATTTCTCTTCCAATTAGAGATACTAGATAAGAGCTGTTAGTATTTTTTAAAATCCTATTACCTTTTGTAGATCAAATTTAAAATAGTGACTTTTAGCAATGATTTTACTCCTTTATCCAAGTAAATGTGATTTTTTTCAGAGCAGTATGAAGTTTGAGATAGGTAAGATTTTGTGTCTGAAAAAGTTTGTACTTTCATTTTGTTTTCTTAATAACATTTGTTTTGGTTGATACAAAATTATCTCTAGATGCCTGTGGCGGAGGGAGGGAAATGTTTTGTAGTATTCATATCATTGCAATTACCACCCTGTATTTTTCTTCTCAAAGAATGGATATGGTGATAAACATAAGAATAAAAAATAATAATTACATATGGATGCATAATAAGAAATAATTATATACACATTCTTTGAAGTTTTTCTTCTCTGATACAACCAATCCTTTCCCCTTTGTTCTTCCACCATGTCTTTTGTTCTAGATTTCCTAACTAAAAAAATATTCCACCACTGTTTCTTTTGGTATTTAAGCAGTACTTTGGAAATTTGGTTTTCGGTAATCTGTCCAAGCATTTTTGTATAACATTTTCATAAAAAACAGTAATTGAGTGAATTTAGAATATATCAATAAATAATCTTATACAAAAAATAACTATATTATCAAATTATTAAAGAATCTTAAATGTGTCTTTTTTTTTTTTTTTTTTTGGTACTGGGGATCGAACTCGGGTCCTTGCGCTTGCAAGGCAGGCGACAGGACCACTGGGCTAAATCCCCGGCCCCTTAAATGTGTCTTTATGTGGATTTTATATGTGTATCTCTATTCCTTTTGTAGTATTGACAGAAAGTAATGATAAATCATGCAATTAGTGAAATCTTTTAGGAATGTAAGACTTGTGATTATTCTTCTAAATAATTTTTGAACACTATTCCTAGAAAAAAACTAGAGTATTATTTATCCTTTTGCTTGTATTGTCAGTTTTTAGAATAAGCTCTTGTTTTTGATCATGAAAAGAATATCAGCAGCTGGGGATTTAGCTCAGTGGTTTCGCCACCTTGCTGTGCAAGCGCAAGGACCCGAGTTCGATCCCCGTACCAAAAAAAAAAAAAAAAAGAACATTAGCAAATGAATTCAAGTAACTATTACATTCATACCTAGTCTAGGCTTTTTATTTAAAAAATTATCTTTAGCTAAAGAGCACAGTCGGCAATTAGAAGAGAACATGCTTGTAGCATTTCAAATGAGTATTACAGTACTATTAAGAACTTATAATAAAGGCCTATAATCCTATTTAGAAAATTGACTTTTAATATGTGGTAAATGATGGAAAATTGAGGTCAGTTTTTTATGGTTGTGTGATATATTGTACTTAAAATTTTTCTTCTTACTTTTTTTCTTTTGACAGCAGTTGAATGTTATGATCATGTAAACTGGTTCTTCTCAGATACTTCTTTCACTTAGACTTTCCTCTCTACCAGCTTTACAAAGTGTCCTTAAACAAAGCAGGGCAAAAAGGTTGTATTTAAGGAAAATATTTTATTTTCTATCAGTGGAGTTTTACAAAGAAAAACATGTAAACATGAATTTCCTTCATTTTGGGAAGAACATTTATATTCTTGATAAAATTATTTTTCTCCCATCCAAGTACTAACCAGGCCCTACCCTGCTTAACTTCCGAGATCAGACAAGATCGAGCGTGTTCAGGGTGGTATGGTCATAGACAAAAATTATTTTTCTATTTGAGAAAAAATTACTAGGAAAATAAATCAAGAGAGTACTAAGAAAATGGTGTAAAATTGTTCTAGAAAGAATACAAAACCATCATAAGTAAAGCCAACAAAGAGAAGCCAACAAATCAGAGGGAAATTTTGTAATTCATTTTATTCACAAAGGAGTAAATCTTTTGCCTATAAAGAACTCTTACAAATAAGTATTAAAATAAACAACAATTCAGATGAAAGCATTCAAAGATGATTTTATAACAAAAGAAATATAAATAGCACCTGCCTATATGAAAAAGTGCCAAAATAGAGAAATTCTTGTTAAAATTACGATGAAATAACTGTTTTCCACCTACATTTTTCTTCTTTAAATGTATAAACTACCCGGTGATTACTATAGAGAAGAGTTAGAAAGTGCATGTTTTACTAGTATCAAAATGTGAGCTCGGGGCTGAGGATTTAGCTCAGTGGTTTCTCCGTCTGCTGCGCAAGCGCAAGGACCTGAGTTCGATCCCCAGTACCAAAAAAAAAAAATGTGAGCTCACTCAA